CTCGCGATTCGGGTTGGCTCAGCACGGCCACGATTGGGGTCGGGTTGGCTCGGCCCGGGCAATATTAGGGTTGGCTTGGCCTGGCCGCGACTCCGGGTCAGCTACCTCTGCTATGACTGCCCCTGTATGACTGCTGTGCAGGTCCTCTAATAATCAGAGAGACACCCTTCCAGCACCGAAACCCCTTGTACAGACATATACATGTACAAAGCAAGCACATAATTGCCTGTTGGTTCAGCAGCTGTTCTCCACCAGTGCCTCTCCACTAGCTCACATATAACCATTATTCACAGAAAGGATACTATAATCAATGACAAAGGTATAATTCCCAGCAGGGAGGCCATCAGAAAACAGGTCTACACGAGATAGACGACGATAAAGTTTCCTGAAGGACGGAAGTGCGGCCACTCGCATCCAGTTTATAAAGTCTTCATTTATGTAAGCATTGTTATTGGGGTCGAGGGGATCAAGTTCGTAGGCAGGCTTTTGCCAGTAAGGGGGTCTGGCACTTCCTGCAAAGAAAGAAAAAGTAATTGAACCCAGTAGATCTATGAAAATGCACCTTAGGTAAAAACAGCAGTCTGTCACCATTAAAGTGAAATTAAAGCCAACATTTTTTTTCCTCCGCCAATGTTAATGTAAGCACTTGCTAGCAGTAGATATATGCAAAAAAAAGTGAGGGTTTAGAAACCTTTTAAAGGAGAACTATGAGGTGAGTGCTTTTCACTCACCTCATAGTTCTAGCCGACCTGTGACAATGAGACTGTCACAGGTCGGCTCAGTAGATCGGGAGGTGAGCGAACACATACCGGCGTTCGCTCACCTCTCGATCCTGTCACAGCCCTCTGCCGTGACATAGCGAACACATACCGGCATTCGCTCACCTCTCGATCCAGTCACAGCCCTCTGCCGTGACAGGGGAGGGGCTGGATTCCCCCCTCCCAGCTCCGATCCGCCAGCGCTGACTGGCGGATCGGACGGGGAGGGGGCGGGTACAGCTGGCTCTGCCTCTAGATAGGCAGAGCCAGCTGTCACTCACGCAGCTGGGCAGATCCAGACATAATTCTCGGGATCCGCTTCAGCTGCGGCGTCTCAGTATACCGAGAGCAGTGACGGGGGGACGCTAGTTTGTGTCCTCCCGTTACCCTAAGGAGAACTATGTGGAAAAGCCTTAACCCCATAGTTCTCCTTTAACTCTATTTCCTAATGATGTAGATTTTTTTTTTTAAATTTAGTCTAATGATTTGTATATTCTGTTTAATAGGTTCTTCTGACATCTTATGTGAAGCTAAAACTTTTTTTTTAGTTTTGCATAGGGTTGCAAAGGGTTAGAACCACAGTCAGGCTTTATTGCTGTCTGTGTCAGGGAACAGACCAAAAGTCCACAGAGAACAGCAGAACCTAGCTGAGGTTCTAACTAGAGATGCACCGATACCAAGTACCGTATTCGGTACAAGTACAAGTACAGATACTTTTCCACCTCCAAGACTAGACTAGAGAAAAATTAAAAAGTTAGGAGGCAGGAGCACACAGAGTTCCTGGGATTTGTACATCTCTGTTTTAATGTATGATTTTGTTTTTATAAATATATATGATGATACCATTTTTGCAAGTACAAGCACTGCTACATGCCCAAGAACTCACAGATACAAGTACTGATGCATTTTTGTTTATTGTCCTGTGACAGTTTCCCTAAAACAATACAGACTAATGATTTCAGGACAGTGGTGGAGTGCCAGAGCCAGGTCCCAGCTGCAACCGCTGCAACCCTGGTAGTTCTCATAAAAATGTCAAGTTTCGGCCCTGGTATCTGAAAAGTATTGGCGCATCCCTAGTTCTCACCCTCCCCGTTCTACCCAAAGCTTTAAGTGACACTAAACTCAGGAGTTAAATCTTAAAAATGCATTCAAGTACCGGAACTATTAACATAAATGTATCTTATTTGTGTATCACTCAGCTGTAGATCCTCAAATCATCTCTGAATTGGTGCTGACACTGTCCTTGCTTCTGGGGGGGGGGGGCTACTTTTGTTTCCCATGGTCTCTGTGTGTGTTCTAAACACTCCTGTGATGGACTACAATCTCAATACAAATTAGTAAAGGCAGAGCCAGCTTGGCCCGCCCCATCCCTCGTACCATCCTCCGGTCAGCGGTGGAGGATTGGAGAGGGGAGGGGGGAATCTCTGAGGGGAGCGGTGACTGACAGGAAGTAAGCGGATCAGCAATATGTTTTCACACACTTCCCAATCAATAGAGCTGTCGGCTCTATCTATGATGATTAGTGTAAATCACTCACCCCATAGTTCTCCTTTAAATCCTGAGTTTATTGACACTTGTTTTGACTAGAGAGAGATACATGTTAACTTTAGGCTTGTCCTGGATTCAGGAGTAGAAATTTCTGGAAATTTTGAAGCCATGAGAAAAACATTTTTTCCCCCTGTTTTTTTCCGGAAAAAAATGACATTTTCGGAAAAATTGGGGAAAAAAATTCAGTGTGGAGTATTTTTACAAATTGAAAGTCATTTTGTTACACTATGAACGTGAAATGCAGTGTATATAAAAGTACTCTGCTTGAAATAAAAGTACAGCTTATTCAGTAAATAAACTAAACTTGCCTTTTTACATTTTATTTTTTATTTGCAAATTGCAGCTTTGCTCTCAGCAGAAGTTGCACTGTGGAAATGTTTCCAAACTCTAGATGTTGGAAAAAAAAATAATTTACTGACCAGACTATAGGTAAACATTATGGTGATGGTGTAGAACATTATTAGGAATAATTTAAAGGTTATAAAGATAAACTAATTTGTCCGACAAATGTACCCTCTTACCTGTCCATTAAGGCCTGAGAGGACAGAAACTATCATCTACTATCATACCACCAATCACCCAACCATAGGGAAAACAAGATAGAGCCCACAAGCTAACTAAACTGGAGCCTTTCCTCTGCACTGCCCCTAGTGGCAGAAATGCATATTTCTTTTTGAGTTTGAGAACTCCATTGAGAAGTACAGTGTTACTGTAACAACTCTGCTACGCAGGCCTAGGATCGCAACTGCGGAGTGGGGATTTCACGGTCAGGTCAGCAAGTGGTCCCTTCAGCACTTTTCAATAAGAGTTCTAGACCTTTACATCATATCTGACCGTGGATTTGAGGTTTAGTGGTAATAATGAACTAGATCTGACGGGGTTAAAGCGAGAGAGCGACACCCGGTGGTGAGCGCTGGTATTACACTTGCTATGATTAGAGGACAGCACACCTGAGGTTTTATCAAGCAGATATTAAATGATTGAGATGAAATAAGGATGTTCTCTTATGATAGCACATACAGATCCAGTGTAACATCAGAAAGTGAAATGTCAGCTTTAACAGTCCTAAGCACACACATTAATGGTTATACTCTGATAAGACTATCAAGATATGCAGTTCCTCAAATCATCTGAGTTAATGGCTTACTAGCCCAGATACTTGCGATTTAGGAGCCTCTCTCTGAAGTCCCTTTGGATGGTCTCCTGTGGCTGGGGGTTACTTGCACCGAGGTGTCACTCTGCACGGTGTATGTTGTCTTTGGATGAGAGGGGAACCCCTCCAATGGGGTTGTTCACGCTGGTGTGCAGCGGCAATGCTACACTCGGTCCCTGTACGGTCTGCGGTTGCAGAGCGTGAATCTTCGGCGTTCACTGTTGCAAACAGTAGGACGCCGAAGATTTGTTTGACCTCGACTTAAAAAGCCTGTTGCGCCTGCGCCGAAGGAGCCGATGGCCGAGGTGCGCGTGCGTCAAGTGGAGAGAGCCGGGCCCGCTGTGCGCTTGCGCGGTCACGGATCGCGATCCCGGAACGGAACCTGGTAAGTCTCTTACAGTTACTTGAATTGTATTCCAGGATTTGCTTGTCTTCAGCTGAGAGAATGTGCAATAATTTAAGACTTTACATAAAGTTTCAGAAATCTTTCATTAAGGTCTTCATGTTACATAGTTTGACTACCATGTCAAAGATATATTATTTATTATTGTAAAAGAACATATTCCACACTACTTTTTTTATTTCAATATTTCCGGATAAAAACAAAAACGGCTTTGGAGAAAAAACGGACAAAATCCCTGTTTTTCCCTAATTTTTCAGCCCTTCCCATCTCTATTCAGGAATACAGAAATCGATGCTGTTGTAATTAAGCTGGACAGCCTATTCTTGAATCAGCTACAATCACCATTCAGAGCACTGCTAAATCATTTAATACATGGAGTACTCTAAATACAAGAGTGCCAGGGGTAGTGTGAAGTCTTAGCGTTTAGAGAAACAAGCTCCACGTTATGGCAACTGGCCTACTTGGCTCCCTCAGCCTCTAGGCATTCCTGAATTGATTCAGCACCGCTATTATGTATTTTCTATACTTTACCTGCAAACGCCTGGACTAGGTTGTCTTTTGGTTTGGGGTTACTGAACTTCACATTCTTATCAGACCACCATGTGTTTCCTGTCTTGAACAGAGGTACTTCAGTCTTGGTAGAAGCATCAGGATGATAGAATAGCAGTATTGTGTCTGAGGATAAACAGCATGTGTTGAAACATGTGCAAACACTCCCAAAAATATGAAGTGTGAAAGCATCAAGTGGAGGGAGACAGACAGAGAGAATAGAGAGAGAGGGAGAGGGAGGGAGAGGGGATGGGAGAGGGAGAGAGGGAGAGAGAGGGAGAGGGAGGCAGGGAGAGGGAGGGT